TCAAACTCTAAAACATAGAAATCTAGAACACAGACAGCAGAAAAACACAGCAGCAATACAAATATTCAAAATACAAAATGTAGCAATTGATACAACCAGCAAGAATTTGTCAGTAAGGACGTAAGATGGATTTGTCTTAAAAAATAGCTCCTGAGCTGCCATTTAAAAAAAAAAAAAAAAAGACCTTTTCTTTAGGCCTGAATGGGGATTGTTGGGGCAGGACAATCTCAGTAGATAGACAGGTTCAGATAGAAGAAGGCAATCTCTTAAATATTCTGGTCCTAGACTATTCAGAAAGTTATAGCTCATCACCAGCACTTTAAGTTATCAGAAATAAAATAGAAGCTAGCGCATCTGCTTTGTGATGGAATCACGTGCCCCTGTGCATAGCCCCTACTAGCAAGTGGGCTGCAGCATTCTAGGATGAATGTGGCTTCTTAATGTTTTTCAAATGTAGCCCTGTATGGAATCCATTGCACTAATTCTGATATTATGTCAGGCCAGATCAACATTTTCCAAGAGTACCATAGTGGGTTTGATAGTGAGCTGGAATGAGACAGCTGGAAATGTGAAAATGAACTGGGTGAGCTAGATTACGCTTTATGGCTTCTTCCTGCTATTTACGTATTCAAACGTTCCTCTAACTGCACATACTTAGGCTTACTAAAGGCAGTTGGCAAAATGTATGGTACAGAGCCTTTCTACATACACACATACATGCATGCATATACATACATACACACATACATATGTATAGTTGCAAATATGAACAAGGCTCTTCCCTTTAGACAAGGGTTGCAGTTTTACATTTGCAGAAGGTTGTTGGATGTATAATTACAATACACGTGTGCACCTTATTTTAAGTACTCTATCTGCAGAATAGTATGCTGAGAAAAGAAGTCATGGAGGAGATTCTTGTGAAAATTTGTGAGTAATCAGAACCTGTAGGACCAGGGTAAAGCAGAGAAGAGAGGTAAAGACAGAAAATGGAGGGATAGTGATGCAAGATTAATTGATCGTACCATACAGATAATACAGGTCTGAGACCAATCATCTATCCTCTCTCCCAGCTGCCCTGAGTGGCAGGTGGAATAGAAAACTAACAGGTCAATAGACATAGCAGCAGGCTATTTGGAAATATGTAGCAATAGGAGTTTGGTCCACTGGCAACAGCAATGAAATTGAACAATAGGTACTGCTTGGAGGGAATTGGACTTAAGAATTGGAGCTGAGTGATCCAGGTCAGGAACAAAACAAGCACCTGAAAATGCAACAAAGCCAGGAGGTTGTGCAGATAAAGTTGCAGCCCAGTCATGAAGACCCTTATAGCTCTTTTATCTAGAGAAAGTTAATGAACCAGTCTCAATGATTGGGGCCAATCCAAAGACTGAGGAACTTCACTGCCAGGAAAGTATTTCAGGCAATAGTATAGATGGCTCACAGAAGCTTATGACAGATTTGAGACAGGATTCTTGGAGATATTTAAGAACCACATTAACAAAGTGATTTCATTTTGAGCACCTCAGTAATACCGCCTTTTTTTATTGCTTGCTCTTGGTTATTTCATTGGAACATCTGTCACATCATCTCATGACTCCTGTTATTTGGAATCATTGTATCCCCAGAAGTTCCCATCATAACTTTAGTTGTTTAGGTCTCTATATCTTTACCTTAAAAGTCCTTGATAAATTCATGATTTTAATAGCTAGCGAGGCAACTCATATTTATGGCCCTTTTAAAGTAAAGAACTTGAGGTTAAAGATATTCTATGCAAAGTTAAGCAGCAATACATAATAATACACAGGGTTATATATGAGCTTTGGCTTTTCCATACAGTATCCAAATCTAAGGTTATAGATAAACTTGCTATTCAGTATATTTGTATTTAATTAGCATTATTTATTTAAAAATAGCATCAAAGGATGATTGCAATGGTTTTAGAGGAACAGTTTTTGCTTTCCTTGCTTGCTCTGCTTGTGAAGAAAATCCATCCTTTGAAAGCTCTATAGTATTTGCATTGGGAGTAATTTTTTCATTGATGCCAACACTCTGCAAATAGCTTGCATTTCTTTAAACCTGCAAATTCATGCTAAAATTCCCTAAAATGAATGTTCAATTTTAATGTCTTGGAAGGAGAAGCCTACAAAATGAGATGTCTATTTGCTATTTCGTTAAAGGGTTGAAAGACAGAACACCTCCCCCCTTAATAGGATTGTCAACCCTTCAAACTGCCCAATCCAGTCTGTTTTCATTTTGTTTAAGGGACTGAAACATTGATTCTGATCAGTATTTCTCTTCTTTCTTTAATTTCTTCTATATTTAATTCATTCAAGCATTTTTAAGTGGGTTTTGTGAATTTTCACTGTTGTTTTACCCATTATGCACACACACATACATATACAGAGATTATTCCAAGCACGGCCATCATTCTGGTAGAAACCCCAGGAGGAGTTCCTCACATAAATTATCAACAATCTTGTCAGGGTTGTTGTAAATTGGCTGCTGGCATATGTACAAGAGAGTGAAGTGAGCAGATGGTCCTGGTATGAAGAATCAGTGGGAGTGTGATATTAAAGAGAATCTGCTGCCATGGAGATGTGGCCTCTCACGGGGAGTTGGTCCATTGGGAAAGCTGTGCTGAATGCATTCTTGATGTGCTCGGTGACCTCCAGGTTCTTTGGTCCAAGGAAGGGGTTAACATGTCAAAGTCAGGTGGCTCATGGACTCCCAGGGACACAGTGCATGAGCTTTTTCTTAGAGCTATTGACACATTGTTAGGCACCAGTGAAAAAAGATTACATGCTTTTCTAGAACTTTTGCTGGTGCTCTTCTGGGCAAATCTAGATGTTTGGGAGCTGCTGCCACTGAATTCAGCATTCAGTGTTGAATTCTTCCCTTTCCCTGCCTCCTCCATAAAAATAGGACATTTAATCCATATCATGTGGATTGTATTTTTATTATAACATTTATTCCCCACTATTCCTTCAAAAGTCTCTACAACTAAACCAATGAGAAACATAAATTTTTTTCTAAAAAAAAAAAAATTAAAAGGATCAAGAATGACAGGTAAATGACTGAAAAGCAAGCAGTTTAAGACATCATCAATTCAGTCGACTAAATGGCTGCTGAAAGACAACATAGTTACAATTGTCTATAGCATGGTTTTTCAAATTGTATACCACTGAACCCTAGGATTATGTAAGAACTTGACTGAGTTCAGTGAGAGAGTAAAGGCAAACAACAACAACAACAACAACAACTTGAAAGCAGCCCATTTTCTATCAGTAGAGCTCTTGATCAGGGGTTCCTGGATTATTTCCATGAACTGAAAAGTTTGAAAACCCCTGGTCTATAGGATAAAGAACTCTGGGCAAATGGTATTCCAGTCCACAGATAGAGGTCATCATGTTGAGCTAGATGTTGTTTCAGCCTTCTTATAGAACCTACTAATCAATATGGATATGTAGAGAAGCAGGAGGTAAATGTAGATCCCTATTGCCCTCTACTTACTTGTTTGCTGAATCTCTGAAGAAGAAAGACATGGAGGAGTGAAGCAGGAGGGGAAGGAGGTCTTTATGTACAGTTCTGTTCTTTGGATCCAGTTCAGTCCTGATGCTTCTACTAGAAGACATGAAGGGGACTTCCATCAAGAATCCTTGTTTGAAGAATTCTTACTTCTTGACTACAGGACAAATGTCTTGACAACATGAAATCTGCAAATTTAATAGAAAGGATAAATATTCCATATTCTAAAATATAGTTGCTTACTTTTTTTTTTTCTGTGATGGGATAATGCTCATAGATTAGAGTGAAAGTTCTACTTGGAAAGAATATAGCAGAAGGCAAAAATTACCCTTGCTGCAGCACTCTGTGTCGGTGGGGTTTCCTTGTGGCAACTAATGGACCCACGCTCAGAGCAACCAGGGTCAGTTGGCTAATTAGTTCATAAAGTATTGTTTATTGACAAAAAGCCCACAGCACTCTGCCTGCATTATTTTGAAACTAATGTACAGTGGAAGACAGATTAATCATTACATTTTGAGGATATGTGATGAAAGTGATCGGATGCCATGGTCATCAGTGTGACATGAAAACCAGTAGAAGTATTTGTGGTCTCTTTGCAATATACAGAAGTATTAAGAAACTCATAACCCCTAAGGGGAGGACTAATTCTGTTTCAGATAAGAAAGACAAGCAATAGGAGAATATAAGAATATAAAAGCATAAGTATAATCTGCTGGATCAGGCCAAAACCCATCTTAATCCAGCATTAATAAAAATGATACTAGCAGTAATACTACAAAATCAAGTAGGTAGTATATCTAAATAAAGTACTGTAATTTTGCTTCTCACAGTGGCCGAGAACATCAGATACTTTTGGAGTGCTCACAAGTAGGTGATAGAGACATTCTCCTCTTCTGTTGTTCCCCTGCAACTGAAATTTGGGAGGCATACCGCTCACAACCTAAAGAAAATATTGAATCTCCAAGGCTAGTAGTCCTTGATAGATCTGTCCTCCATGAATCTATCCAACTTCCCCTTTTAAAATCATCTAAATTGGCAGCCAGCGCTACATCTACTGATAATGTATTACACAGGTTATTATTGCACTTTCTTTTGTGTGCTCTAAATCTCTTTCCAATCAATTTTATTGGATGACTGGTGATCCTTGTATTTTGAAGGAGGGAGAAGTCCACTTTGTCCATGTCACACATGATTTTATACTCCTCAATCATGTCTCTTTTCTACCACCTTTTTTCCAACCTAAAGAGTCCCAAACATTCTAGCTTTTTCTCATAGTAAAGCAGCTTGAGCCTCTTGATAACTTTGGTTGCTCTCCTCTATACTTTTTCCAGCTTCTTTATATCCTTTTTCAAATGGTAATCAGATGCAGTCATTCAATAGATTTATATAAGAGCGCTACAGATGCAGATATAGAATAGAGTTGTTTTAAGATCATTACAATATTGGCAGCTTTATTTTCACTCCCCTTCCTAATGATCCCTAGGATGGAATTTGCCGCACAGTGCGTTGTCACTGAAATCTCCATTACGATACCCAAAATCTTTTGGATATTAGTTATAAACAGCTCAGACCCCATCAGAGTTGGGAGGGGGTTGCACAGCTTTACATTTACTTCTATTAAATTCATTTGCAATTTGGTTGACCATTCACCCAGTTGCAATAGATTCTTCTGGAGCTGTTCTCAATCACATTTGGTTTTTTACTGCATCAATGGTTTATTATCATCTGCAAATTTGGCTGGCTCACTGTTTATGCCTAAGTCAAGAATATTTTCAAACAACTTTAAAGCATGATCCCAAGATAGATCCCTGAAGCACATCATTTCCTACTTCTCTCTGTTGAGAAGATTGCCCATGTATTCTTAATTTTTCTGTTTTTCAACCTGAACTATATCTCTAGAATGCCACCATGTGTTCATATCTACAGCATTTTGCCTTTTTACACACAGACATACACAGTCTCCCTTCACCGTCTCCTCACCACATCCCATATCTGGGCTGCAAAAATCTAGAGGACCAGATGACAGCAAAGAGACACAGAAAATTTTGTCTCCTGCCACCTAGAGATCTTCTAGATTTATGCAGCTTGGGGAGTATTACCTCATGTGATTAAAAAAAAAAAAAAAAAGACTTGAGGTGCTTATTGGGGGGGCTTTCCAGACATGGAGCCCTGGGGTTGTATCTGGCATTCCATCTCCTTCAGCACTGCTATGTATTTCCAAGTATGAATCAGAGAGTAGCCTTGGTATAATCAACTGAGGTCTTAAATTGGGGAGATTTTTGGCATAATTGAGGATTACTACGCTTAAGGAAAATGAAGGGCTGCTCTCTCTTGAGATTTGATTCATATGCTAGTCCAGGCAACAGAACACAGTTTAAATTACACTTTGGCAGGGTGGAAACATCAACTGGGAATATGTGTTATAAAACCCAAACCAGCTTGCAACATGGCTTTATTAGAATGATACTGGATGATTAATCCTTTGGGAGCTACTGTCATGATGTTCTTTAGTCTGTCTAAAGACGAGCCTTATTAAAGTGTTTCTGCAGTGGCCAATGGCATAAAGAGCAGTATATTTTCTTAGGGTAACCACAGGACTCTGCTTCGACATTACAATAAGGGCGCTCAGCTGTTGAATTAAAATTTAATTTGAAAGTGGTAGGATTGCCTCCAGGCTGCATTATGTGTCTTCAACGGGTCTGCATCATTGATGAGGCCTCCTTTAAGGTCAGAAGTCAGGTGTTCTGAAGTTGGAAATAGGAAAGACTGAGAAGAGCTGTTAATAAGGACTGCTATAGTATAATTGCTGGATATGCTTTTAGATATACCAGCATTTCCTTAGCTCTTAAGAACCCTCCCTCTCCTCCCCAATCCCAAATGTATTTTGTTTGTGCTTGTTCCTGTGGAAAACAGGCCTGCCAAAAATGTGTGTCCAATAGAAGAGATTATATGTAGCTCAGGATTGAACTGTGGAGTCCTTGGTGCTAGTCAGGTAATGAAATGTCTACAAGCAAACAACCAAGCTCAGAGAGCACCAAGGACTCCACAAAAATGTGTGTGTACAATTTCACGTGTACTTGCTGGCACAAAGTTCCAGAAACTGATTATATAGCTCGCTCTCACCCTGTGTCATGAGGCTTAGAAACTTGCTACATCTTTCTTTCTTCAGAATAAAATATCAGGTCTCATGATTTCTTCCAAAATCACAGGGCAGTCATTTGGAAGAGCATTTGTCAACTGTGTGTCTAAGTAAAAGTTGATGAAACTGAGAGGTTTTTGTTCAAAATGGAAATTTTTGGAAGCCTGCTAATACTAAATTAAAAGCCTGGTTTGAACACCCATTAAGCCAGAGAACATTTTGAAGAACATGGGGTCTAAAGCTAAGATAATAAACAAAACATCCATTCCAAGCCAGGGTCATATTTGCAGCCAAATTAAAAAAAAAAAAATCCCAGTAGCAGCTGATGTGTGTCATGTGTGAATGCCTGAAGTCTCTTTAGAAGGACAGCACAAAAAAAAATAATGTACAGTATTCCAAACCACAGGGACTGACACAACATCTGAGGAACGTGGTAATGGCAAATATGACTATTGAGTGCTGTTTTTGAATACTAAACACAGTGGAAAAGTAACCTCTTTTCCTAATATGTAGAAACATATATTATAGATTATAAGAACCTGAGCACTGCTGGAATTCTTAATTTATACTGGTATTTCAATCATATATATTATCTGAAATGCTCACTTCATTGTAAATGGGAGCTAATGTGTGGTGCATTGCTACAGCTCAGCTCAATTTAGTTTCGATTGTTTATGACATAGATCTTCAGAATATAGCAAGCATAATATATTATAGATGAAATGAAAATAGATTAATAAAAGTAGCAAGTCCAAAACTGCCAAATTCAAAGCTAAATATAATATTCCATAACACTGGTTTCCTGGCATTTAATTTGTATTACCTCAATCAATGATAAATAGAGAAAAAAATATAATCATGATAGTTAACTGTCAGACGTTTTTAGTGAAGTCTTAATATCAGCTTTATAAAATCTGGCATGTCTCTTGGCTCAGGCTATTAAAAATGTGGGAATGTATCACAAAAATGTGGGAGCAAAATATCTAGTTAGATTGGCTTGTTTATTCTTTAACAAGTCAGCAAGATGTGAGGGTGTGCTTTTTTGTACCTTATAACAAAGAGCAGTTTAAGAAATAAAGGGGAAGATCCTCTTTGTCTTACCTAAAATGATAAAAGCATAGAGTTTAAAGTATCTCAAACAGTTTCCCCACAAGGTAGCTATTGTCACTACTCCTAATTATCCTCAGATAGTTGAGAAAACGTCTCTACCTCACAATCCAATGATCTGTTAAAATGTAGAGAAATTGCTGACTGACGTAAGTATGAATTTTCTGTGAAATACATTAAGCAAATGGAATTATTGTGGAGAATGGGCTGAGCTAGCTTCCAAACATGATGGTTTCTATCTCTGTTTACTTGAAGATGTCCTGGAAGTCCAAGATGTCAATTTATTCAGCCGTGAATATGAAATTAATAAGAAAGAGCACCACACAGACAAATACTACCATTTCAAACTGATTGTGCGCCGAGGACAGATTTTCCATCTTCAGATTACATTCAGTCGTGCATACAATCCAGAGAAGGACCAATTCTGGATTGAGTATCTTATAGGTAAGTGCCAGCTAGTGCCTGTTCCTGTTATTGTCACTCTTTTTATCTCGGAAAAGCATCATAGGTAACGGTGGCAACTGTAACACACTGTAATGGCATCCAAATCATTACATGCCTATGATGATTTCATTGTGTAAATGCTGCAGATATATATTTTGTCACAACATCTGAGACAGGTACCTAAATGTCTTTCCCTTGCCCCCATGGACATCCATGACATGCAACTACACTGGGGGTAAAAATGGGCTAAGGGAGGGCAAGAGCATGTAGTTATGCTTTACAGCAGTGTTTCTCAACCTCAGCTGGCTGGGGGAATTCTGGGAGCTGAAGTCCACACATCTTAAAGCTGCTGGGGTTGAGAAACACTGCTTTAGAGCATGGACATGTAATTTTTTTGTAGTCAGGGACTGTGCATATGTCTATATATGTATGTATTACACAGTTATGTGTCTTTTTATTTCTACAAGTGTTCCACCTTAGCAGAAGAATCACACTGCTAAGTGTTGGGGTTTTGACAAATTTTGGTAATGCAATTTTGGGGAAGGGAGCTCTAGGAGTAACCAAAAAAAAAAAAAGGTTGGGGTGCATGCAGTTCACAGGCCACAAGTTGCAAACCTTGGTTTGGGGTATCCCCTAGATCAGTGCTTCTTAATGGGTCCCCCAAGACCCTCTCAAGGATCCGTGAAATCAAAATCAAAAGTTTGGTCTAGTGGTGAAGGTACCAAGCTAGAAAGCAGGAGACTGTGAGTTCTAGTCCTGCCTTAGGCATGAAAGCCAGTTGAGTGACTTTGGGCCAGTCACTCTCTCTCAGCCCAACTCACCTCACAGGGTTGTTGTGGGGAAGAAAATAGGAGGAAGAAGGAATATTAGGTATGTTTGCTGCCTTTAGTTATTTTTAAAAATAATAAAGGCGGGAGAAAAAAAAATCTAAAAAAAAATATTTGCCAGATATTGAAGATATTTGCAAAAATTTAAAATGTCATTCTTCTCATTATTATTTTGTATTTGTTAAAAAATATATAAAATGAAAAATTTTCATGAAAAATATTTATGTTATTATCTAGTGGGTTTGATATTGTTATTTTTATGTGATTCAATAAATAGATATTCAATGAATGCTTCAATTTTAATTTTTAATGCAGTAAATATTGATAAAATATAACCCATACAAACTAAAGATCTTTTGGGGTCTTCCATAATTTTTAAAAGTGGGAAGGGCAAGAGCAAAAAGTTTAAGAAACACTGCCCTAGATCTTCAGAATGTTTTAGCTTATAACAAAGTAAAGCAAAGCAAAAAGCAAAGATACCTCCCCCCTAATAAATCCAAACATTTTTCCAACCTGGGGGGGGGAGGACCTCAGGCTGTGCATGTGTGCTTGAAATGAATACCTGCAGGAGGGCAAGGTATGGTGCCAAAATGGATCAGAAAGCATTAAATAAAGTCAGGGATGGCAACCTTTCCAGGCATTGCAGGACATTATTTGATTGGCACTGGGTGCCCCCCCCCATCTACTTATTTATGTATACAGTATGTGTAAGGTTGGAGATCTTGTGAAATTTTTAGCACACCATCACTGATTTGATGATGATGTGAGCCCTCTGGACACCATTACTGGAGTCTTACAGCGCCACAGAGCTCAGGAGTAAAGAATAGGCCAGAAGGCAAATAAGATCTTAAACAAACAAACAAACAAACAAAAAGTGGTCCTTCAAAATCAAGCTGTGAATATCTCTAGTATCAGAATAGTTCTAATATTTAACTGAAGTCTGTCTTCCTGTAATTTAAATTCATTCTTCTGTCTCCTGCACTGTAGAATGATGTCTTTGCAGTCTTCTGGATGATATTCTTTCAAGTATCTTTCAAGTATCACAACAGTGTTATCAAATCCCCTGACTGGCCCTGAAAGTCATAAATAAAATATTCTAAGGCAAGCCTGCCATCTGGGCTGCAAAATTCCAGATGACCATCAGATGGCAGCAAAGAACTAGAATTTTGTTTATATTCCTTTGCTGCTGTCTGATGATTGTGAAACGTTTTGCAGCCCAGAAATGGTACACCTAATCTCTCTCCTCTCACTGCTTCACGTTCAGAAAAGAGGAGGAGAGAACAGCCAACAGCAATTGCTGGGTAAGCTCTCCGAATCTTCCAAGTCATTTGGTATGTCCTGAGGAGGCTTGGCTGATGTAGAAACAGCTACTGCTGGCTTCTGTCAGTCACTGCATTGTTCTCAAGATGCTTTGAGAACAGTCTCCTGATGATCTGCTCTACAGGCTTTCCAGATATCAATGACAGACTGCAACTATCTGGAGCAGCCTTTCTCAAACCTTTTGCCCTGGAGGAACCCCTGCATAAAGATAGCAAAAAATACAAAAACTTCATAATACAATTCACTTCTAACTGCACAATCCATGTTTTACAAGGTTTAAAACAACAGCAAAGCGGCAGGCTAGCTCTGAGTCACTGCACGTAAAAACTCCCACCATTGTGAATGCTAGCACTGCATGGCCCATGAAGTTAAAAAAAACAACTTTTTTTTCAATCACAATCTCTTGCGGAACCCCAGTTGAGAAACGCTGCTCAAGAGCCTCCTTTCCCCCCTTTCTGAAGGAAGGGGAGATGACATCCTGTCATCTGGCTTTTTTCTAGATCTTCTCAAAGATAATGTAGAAACATTTGGTCAAATGATCAGCATGTTCCTTCACTATCCTAGGATGCAATTCATCTGGCCCTGGAGATTTAAACATGTTCCCCAACCACCTTTCTGTCATTCTCAGACTTCAGTCCCTCCCTTTTAATCTGCCATTCATGATTGCTTGGTGGAACCCATACCTCTTCTCAGAAAGGATTGTGGGCTGTTCCTCCCTGCCTCCTACTTGCAGCACAAAAGTGCCCTAGTAAAATGTTTTTCTTTGGCCCTGTTCTTATGATGTTCCCTTTGTCTCATCCCCAGCTAATAACAGATAATTTAAAGTCATCCTTTTCCATTTTACTTTTAAAGTAATATTTCCCTTCTCCTCCCAACACAAATTTTGCCATGGATATGACATGGTCCACCAACAAAATGGCTGGGATCTGCTCAGCTCTTATTGGCCTACTTTCTTTCTCTGGTCACCATGAACTGCTTTGCATGGCCATTTAGTTTTTAGCTGAAGGAGAAGTTGGACACTAGACTTCCACAAAGGTATCTGCCCCTGTAATGCCTAACTGCCACAAGTGCTTGTTGGTATTGTGCAACCTCCTTTGTGTACAATTTGATCTGTCTTTTGAGAGAGTGCTAATCCTGTGCTGCATAGACATTTGATTTAAACTGGGAAAGAGAACATGGTTTGCCAACTGCTTGTAACTAGTTCTGTCACCATTAGATATATTACAGGTTTCTGCTGCTTCTGTTGGAAAGAAGTACCACTGTTTTTATCATGTTTTTTGGGGGGGGGCAGTGCCATTTGCCTACTCCATTCCAGCTCTAGCAGTGACTGTTGTTATTAAACATAGCCATTTACACCTGCATGTTCTCCATGGTGGTTAATTGGGTACTGCTGTCCACAAGGTCAGAACTGGACTGCCAGCAGTGAGATTCCCTTTTAGTCAAGGATGGAGTTTGCTCATTACCATTATCTCCCACTTCATCCTGCATTCCTTTTCTATCAGCTGAGCTACTTTTGAACATATGTTCTGTGTCCTCTCAGAAGCATGCTGGACCTGTGCTCAGAAATAGCTTTACTGACAGGTCATAGGTCCAGTTCGTGCCAAGAGGGAGCATTGGGGATGCTCCTGTTTGCTTTACCCCCCCCCCACACCCTTCCATGCTGACATCTTGTTAGGCAACTTGACAGGTGGCTAAGTGTGCCATTTTAAGTGCAGGTAGTCCTCACTTACCGAATGCCTTGTTCAGCAACCATTCAAAGTTACCACAGAGCTGAAAAAGTAGGCATACAACCAGTCCTCAAACTTGGGGCCATCACAGTGTCCCCGTGTTCACGTCATTGCTATTTGGGCGCTTTGCAACTGGCATGCATTTATGACAGTCGCAGCATCCTGTGGTCATGTGATTGTCATTTGTGACCTTCACAGCCAGCTTCTGACAAAGTCAATGGGGAAGCCAGCAGAAAGTTGCAAGTCACGGTCACATGTTGTTGCGCTTAATAATTGCAGGTGATTTACTTAATGACCACAGTGGAACAGACGTAAGTCTGGCACAGTCATGTGACATTTCATTTAACAACTGCATCACTTAGTGACAGAGTTGTCAGTTCCAATTGTGGTCAGTATGTGAGGACTACCTGTACCCACCTACATTCACCCAACTCCACCCTATTCCATGTTAAGGTCAACAATGGGTGCTTGTTTTCCTACCAGCAGGTGGCAGAGAAAACAAAACCAGGGAAATCCACCAATTTCTTTCCTTAATTTGCCCCACAATAAATAGATAAGGACCTATTTGCCAGCCTATGGAAATTTATACTGGCATATTTCTCTGCTGCTCAAAGACTTGGGGATGCCCTTTAGCACCACTGGCTGGAAGAGCTCTGAACCGAAATAGGACTTGAGTCATTCTACCCTTTCTTTGTTACCTGTTATCACTTCACTGTCTTTATGGAGAAGTTGGTAAAAATATTTTTTCTTCCTTTCATTCTGAACATATATAAAGAAGTCCTTTTTGTTATTCTCAGCATCCTTCGTCAGCCTCAGCTTATTCTGGGTATTAACCTTCCTGACACCATTTTTGCCATTCTGGGCAGTTCAAGATCTCTGTGTGTTGTTCCTTGGTAACCTGTCCCTTCTCCCATCTCCTGTATGTGCCCTTTTCTCTTTTTAGATCTTCACTAAGCTTTTTGTGAAGTCACTCTGGCTGCTTCTGCTCCCTTCTTCCATTTATTTTCCTCTCTGGAATGGTTTGCAATGGTGTTTTTAGCATTTTCTTTTCTTGGGACTGCCCCTCTCTTGAACTCTTTTTTCCATTAGCTACTCCTGCCATGGAATCATACTGACCGTTGCTCTG